ACCAGAATTATTCATTTGAGAGAGGGTTTCTCTTTCATTGTTCAAACTGAGCTCAACTCCTGATGCATGGAGAAAAGGCCTTCACAAGCCTCTGCTATTGTGTACATAGTTTATACTAAGTGACCCATAGGTTGAGGAGGCGGTGATCGTGGCGGTGTAGGTGGAAGCGGCGGTGGAGGAGGTAGCCAACACTGTTTTTATATATATATATATATTTATTTTAAATTGGGTAGCCCCCAAAATATTGGGACATATAAAAAAAGAAACATTTGCGGCCTGCGGTGCATTTCTTGCAGTCCTGATGCATGGCGAAATGCTCAATTCCTGATGCGTGGAGAAAAGGCCTTCACAAGCCTCTGCTATTGTGTACATAGTTTATACTAAGTGACCCATAGGTTGAGGAGGCGGTGACCGTGGCGGTGTAGGTGGAAGCGGCTGTGGAGGAGGATGAGGTAGCCAACACTGTTTTTTATTTTATTTTATTTTTTTTATTTTTTTTATTGGGGTAGCCCCCAAAATATTGGGACATATAAAAAAAGAAACATTTGCAGCGTGTGGTGCATTTCTTGCAGTCCTGATACATGGAGAAATGCTCAAATCCTGATGCATGGAGAAAAGGCCTTCACAAGCTTCTGCTATTGTGTATATAGTTTATACTAGGTGACCCATAGGTTGAGGAGGCGGTGACCGTGGCAGTATAGGTGGAAGCGGCAGTGGAGGAGGAGGATGAGGTAGCCAACACTGTTTTTTATTTGTTTTTTTAGTTTTTTTAATTGGGGTAGCCCCCAAAATATTGGGACATATAAAAAAAGAAACATTTGCAGCGTGTGGTGCATTTCTTGCAGTCCTGATACATGGAGAAATGCTCAAATCCTGATGCATGGAGAAAAGGCCTTCACAAGCCTCTGCTATTGTGTACATAGTTTATACTAGGTGACCCATAGGTTGAGGAGGCGGTGACCGTGGCGGTGTAGGTGGAAGCGGCTGTGGAGGAGGATGAGGTAGCCAACACTGTTTTTTATTTTATTTTATTTTTTTTATTTTTTTTATTGGGGTAGCCCCCAAAATATTGGGACATATAAAAAAAGAAACATTTGCAGCGTGTGGTGCATTTCTTGCAGTCCTGATACATGGAGAAATGCTCAAATCCTGATGCATGGAGAAAAGGCCTTCACAAGCTTCTGCTATTGTGTATATAGTTTATACTAGGTGACCCATAGGTTGAGGAGGCGGTGACCGTGGCAGTATAGGTGGAAGCGGCAGTGGAGGAGGAGGATGAGGTAGCCAACACTGTTTTTTATTTGTTTTTTTAGTTTTTTTAATTGGGGTAGCCCCCAAAATATTGGGACATATAAAAAAAGAAACATTTGCAGCGTGTGGTGCATTTCTTGCAGTCCTGATACATGGAGAAATGCTCAAATCCTGATGCATGGAGAAAAGGCCTTCACAAGCCTCTGCTATTGTGTACATAGTTTATACTAGGTGACCCATAGGTTGAGGAGGCGGTGACCGTGGCAGTATAGGTGGAAGCGGCAGTGGAGGAGGAGGATGAGGTAGCCAACACTGTTTTTTATTTGTTTTTTTTTGTTTTTTTAATTGGGGTAGCCCCCAAAATATTGGGACATATAAAAAAAGAAACATAGTTTATACTAAGTGACCCATAGGTTGAGGAGGTGGTAACTGTGGCGGTGAAAGTGGAAGCGGCTGTGGAGGAGGAGGAGGAGGTAGCCAACACTGTTTTTTATCTGTTTTTTTTTTTGTTTTGTTTTATTGGGGTAGCCCCCAAAATATTGGGATATATAAAAAAAAAAAGAAACATTTGCGGCCTGCGGTGCATTTTTTGCAGTCCTGATGCATGGAGAAATGCTCAACTCCTGATGCATGGAGAAAAGGCCTTCACAAGCCTCTGCTATTGTGTACATAGTTTATACTAGGTGACCCATAGGTTGAGGAGGTGGTGACCGTGGCAGTATAGGTGGAAGCGGCAGTGGAGGAGGAGGAGGAGGTAGCCAACACTGTTTTTTATTTGTTTTTTTTGTTTTTTTAATTGGGGTAGCCCCCAAAATATTGGGACATATAAAAAAAGAAACATTTGCGGCCTGTGGTGCATTTCTTGCAGTCCTGATACATGGAGAAATGCTCAAATCCTGATGCATGGAAAAAAGCCCTTCACAAGCCTCTACTATTGTGTACATAGTTTATACTAAGTGACCCATAGGTTGAGGAGGTGGTAACTGTGGCGGTCTAGGTGGAAGCGGCGGTGGAGGAGGAGAAGGTAGCCAACATTATTTATATATATTTTTTTTTATTATTTTAATTGGGGTAGCCCCCAAAATATTGGGACATACAAAAAAAGAAACATTTGCGGCCTGCGGTGCATTTCTTGCAGTCCTGATGCATGGAGAAATGCTCAACTCTTGATGCATGTAGAAAAGGCCTTAACAAGGCTCTGCTATTGTGTACATAGTTTATACTAAGTGACCCATTGGTTGAGGAGGCGGTGACCGTGGCGGTGTAGGTGGAAGCAGCGGTGGAGGAGGAGGTAGCCAACACTGTTTTTTATATATATTTTAATTGGGGTAGCTCCCAAAATATTGGGACCAATAAAAAAAGACAACTCTGTTCCGCAGAGTAGCTGTTGACATTATAGTTGTGCAGGCACTTTGTTGACTCTAGAGAACCTCGGGCCAATCGCACATCCCTGTGACGCCGACTTTGCATTCGGATGTCATCTCTATCAACTTTTGATGCCAGTTTCTGTGCCTACCATGGTAGGTAATGGGGAATCAGGGTTCCATTCTGTACAGGGACCCTGAGAAGCGGCTACCACATGCAAGGAAGGCAGCAGGCGCGCAAATAACCCACTCCCGACGCAGGAAGGTAGTGACGACAAATAACAATACAAGACTCTCTAGAGGCCCTGTAATTGTAATGAGTCCACTTGAAATCCTTTAACTCTGATCAATTGGAGGGAACGTGCAGAGCCACTGACCCATGGGTGTTGCAGCTGAAACTCCACTATCACCTGCTGCTGCTCAAACAGTCTCTCCAGCATGTGCAAGGTGGAGTTCCTTGTGGGCACGTCGCATATGAGGCAGTGAGCGGGAAGGCCAAAGTTATGCTGCAGCACAGACAGGTGGTCAGCAGAGTGAGAACGCCGAAAGCGCACACAGCCGCTACAGTGAATATCACATCATGTTCAAAGTTGCGGATCAGTCTGGTGATCGCTTCTGGTATCCAGTACTCTTTTTACTGAAGCTGCATCAGGGTCCTGGTATGTGGCTGCACAAATACTGGTGCTCAACACCAGGGTGCGTGCGGTTACCCTGCACCAGACCCTGCTAATCCATTCCACACAGTGACTCCTAACTTCAACATCAGGCAAACTGGGTCCCGGTCGTCCGACCGCTGCCCAGACAGTGTCTGGGTCCTGGTCGCCGGACTGCCCACCTGACTGTGAAACTACGAATGGTTTGTTAAATCTGGTACGAACCCAAACTTTGCAGTTAGTGTTTCTCTCAACTCCATTATGGATCCTTTAATCGCTACATGTATTGCTTGGATAACTGGTAATTCCCAAGCTAATACATGCCAATGAGCGCTAGGGGACGGCCGCTTCACTTTTGCAGCCTGCTCCCTCTTATGCTGTGCTGGTGCCTCTGTGCGACCAGCGCCTCTTCCTCCAAAATGCACACGTCACTTGCATGACCTTGATTCCATGTGGGGTCTAGGACCTCATCATCCTCCACATCATCTTCCACCCACTCCTCAACCCTGCCCTCCTTGCCTGTATGCACACTGCAGAAAGCCACAGCAGTTGGCAACTGTGTTTTTCCAGCAAAGGACATATGGAAATTGTTTTAGAATTTTATCCAGGCAACAGTTTTCCCTATAAACTGACATCTCAGTTTGACTTGTGAAGGTATTGCCCCAGAATTACAATATTGTTTAAGTACCTCTTAGCTATTGATAACTGGTTTAAATATAGCAGCTTATCTGGTAGTTTCTAGAAAATATCAATCTGTTTTACAAGTGTTATAGGTGTGAAACAATATTACAAGTGACCGATGTAGTAAATTCGAATCAAAGTTACGCTTCGATTTGACTCTCAGATATGAAGTGCACGCCCCAAAATGTACTATTTAGCAGATTAGCACCCAGAAAATACGGATTTTTACAACTGCGCAGTAAGCGCACTATTAGACGCTTCTATTTGACTCTCAGATATGAAGAGCAAGTCCCAAAATGTACTATTTAGCAGATTAGCAACCAGAAAATAAGAATTTTTACAACTGCACAGTAAGCACACTATTAGACGCTTCTATTTGACTCTCAGATATAAAGAGCAGGCCCCAAAATGTACTATTTAGCAGATTAGCAGCAAAACAATTAGAATGTTTACAACTGCGCTGTAAGCACACAATTTGACGCTTCTATTTGACTCTCAGATATGAAGTGAACCGCAGGCCGCAAATGTAATATTTAGCAGATTAGCAGCAAAACAATTAGAATGTTTACAACTGCACAGTAAGCGCACTATTTGACGCTTCTATTTGACTCTCAGATATGAAGTGCACACGCCAAATATACTATTTAGCACCCGAAAAAAAAAATGACTTTTTAAAACTCAAATGTAAGCAGCAGATTAGCAGCAAAACAATTAGAATGTTTACCACTGCGCTGTAAGCACACTATTAGACGCTTTTATTTTACTCTCTGATATGAAGAGCAGGCCGCAAAATATACTATTTAGGAGATTAGCAGCAAAACAATTAGAATGTTTACAACTGTGCTGTAAGCGCACAATTTAACACTCATATTTGACTCTCAGATATGAAGTGCACCGCATGCCGCAAATGTACTATTTAGCAGATTAGCAGCAAAACAATTAGAATGTTTACACTGCGCTGCAAGCACACTATTAGATGCTTCTATTTGACTCTCAGATATGAAGAGCAGGACCCAAAATGTACTATTTAGCAGATTAGCACTCAGAAGATTAGAATGTTTACCACTGCACTGTAAGCACACTATTAGACTCTTCGATTTGACTCTCATCTATGAAGAGCAGGCCCCAAAATGTACTATTTAGCAGATTAGCACCCAGAAAATTAGAATGTTTACCACTGCGCTGTAAGCACACTATTAGACGCTTCTATTTCACTCTCAGATATGAAGTGCATGCCCCAAAATGTACTACTTAGCAGATTAGCAGCAAAACAATTAGAATGTTTACCACTGCACTGTAAGCGCACTATTAGACGCTTCTATTTGACTCTCAGATATGAAGAGCAGGCCCCAAAATGTACTAAATAAATAAAAGGAAGAGACAGCGCCAATTGACCTATAAGGCAGCAACCCAAAAAAGGGAATCTCCCCAAAACCCTTAAAAATACAAAGTAAAAACAGAATGTAAAAGAAGGGCTGCGCCAAAGTGAAATAAATAATATTCAATCCAAATACTGGTAAAAAGTCCAACCTAAAAAATGTGTCCTCTCTGTCGTCCTTGGATACAGGAACAAAGTATTCAGGTATGGGATATAAAAGATATATATTCTTGCATATTATGCTGTTCACATTGTTACTGTTTGTTGATCCTGATGAAAGCCCCGGTCGTGGGCTGAAACGTCGATTTTAAGATTTTTCAATAAAGTACCATTTTACTTCAAGACCGTGAGTGCTAGCCAATATTTACACTTTGTATATAATTTTTGGTTGTGGCTATTTATTGCACCCGGCAATTATATTTGCAGAATACTGCTGTGTATATATCTGAGTGCAAGGACTGGACATTTTTATATATATATATATATATATATATATACACACACACACACACATAATACGTGTGTATGTATGTATATATAGATGTGATTTTAAAAAACAGATAAAATTTGTATCTTGTAATACCTTTTTTATTGGACTAACAGCATTTTTTATTGACAAGCTTAGGGAGAACCTTCCTTTCTCAAGTCTGAAGCATTTCTGAGCAAGACAACACATAGAATTCAAAGTTGAGTTGTGATACCGGGGTTAAAGCAACATGAGTGCAGATAAGACACAGGTTTGTTAGAAAATACACACCATTCTTGTAGAGGGTCATAAATATATTTCTGAAGAGCAGAGTGAGGGGGGGAGAGGGAGAAAAAAAAACAAGCAGAAGATGGTACACTTTATACATACATACACACATAAATATGTATATGCAAATGCATAAACACATGAACACATATACATATACATACACAGAAAACATATACATACATGCACATGATCTCATCTACACAAATATAAAAAAAAAACAGTCACATATATAAGCATACATGCATAAGAGTATGGGAAAGCATAGGTCTACACAAAGTACTTAAATATTGATAGAATAAACATATTGGAATGTGTTTTAAAGTGTTGATACATATGACAGAACAGTAAGATAATGCTGGGGGAGTGTTCATGTAAAGTGTTGGTAGTGGGACAGAAAACCCAAATCAATATTTAGTCCTCTATTCTTACTGTTAAACAATTTGATCATTATGGTTTCAAAAGTATTTTTAAAACCCCCTTTCAGTACTTTGATTGTTATTTTTAAAACCCCCTTTCAGTACCTTCATTGAGTGGCCAGGCTGGTGAAAGTGGTGTCCCAAAGGAGTGAAGTATGATCTTTTTTTGTGGTGTTTAATGGAGTGTCTGCGCATATTAATTCTGCCAATTAATTGCTGTAGCATCCTAGGTGGCATTTGGTGCATTGAATCATGTATACCACATTGCTGGATGTGCAGAAGTATGATCCTTTAATGCTGTAGGATTTATTGTTGTGTGTGGCTGTGTTGTCTGTGCATATGTGCTGACACAGTTTGCAGCGAGGTTTTTTGCATTGACTGGTCCCATTTTCTTTATTCTTACTATCAGTGGGCAGCTTCCTGTTGATTAATTTTTGTTGGAGGTTTGGCAGTTGTCTGAAGGCCAAAATGGGTTTTTCAGAAAAAATGTTTTTCAGAGTCTCATCTTCTGTTAACATTGGTTGTAGGTCTTTGATGATTTTCTGTATTTCCTCAAGAGCTGGGTTGTAGGTGACCACAAGTGGCACTCGTGTTCATATTTTTTTCTCTCTGTACTGTAGCAGGCGCGTGCATGGAGTTTTTACTGCAGAGTTGATTTGTTTGGTAATAGTCTTTGGTTTGTAGCCTTTCTGTCTCATTGTCACATATTCATCCGCTTATAGAAATGTGGTTAATGACATTTACTGTCCACACAGGAAAAGTTGTGCCGAGCAGCAACCTAATCCACAGAAGGGTTAATGCTGAGCAGCAATTATGCAAATGAAACCTGGTAACTGACTTTCGGGTCAAAGGCCGGTTACAGCCTATCAGAACTAAAGGAGGGGTATTTAGGCCCACTTCTCAGCCTGCTCAGTGCCCTGTCGTGGTTTCCCTTGTGGTTGTCTGAGAGCGCGTTCCTGTTTATAGTTTTCTACCTGGTTTTGACTTTGGCTTTGTTTATTGACTTCTCTATATTCTGGTATCCTGACTCCTGGCTTTCCTCATCGCTGTGTCCCTTTCTGTGTTCCCTGACCTCGGCTAGTATTTTTGACTATTCTTTGTACGTTAAATCCGGCCATTCTAAGGACCGGTAATACGTTACTTATTTGGCATCCGTGCTGTACAGTTCTACGTGCTGGATCAAACAGTAATCCTGACACTCATAGATTGGGAGAGTACATTTAGATGGGAATTACGGTCATTAGGTTTAGAGCATTTGCGATCGTACCTAGTGGCTTGGCTGTAGATGATGCCCTGTTTTGTATGGGAGGGGTGGAACATGACTCTTTTAACACATTCTATCCATCAATCAAATTAAAAATGGAATATTCCACTAGATCTGTGAATTTTCTA